TTTTTATTTCTCTATAATTATGTCGTATAGAGAGCAATAAAATTAGCAATAGTGTTTAAATTTTATGAAATGAATCATTGGAATTGTTTATACGATGATGGAAACAGCGATTGGTGAGAACGTAATTCACTTTAACGCAGATTTAAACGCATAAAAAAGAAAAAAGTGCGCGAGCTCGCAGTCATCGTCAGGTGCATCTCGTTTGCAAGGTTACAAGTGCGCGCTGACAAAAACCTGATATCGCGCCGGGCTTTTTATTGCGTTCGTACAGCTGGTGTATTTTATGTCTCCGAGGTGTCTTTATCGTTGCTAGTTCCATCGAACATATCTTGCTAAGAAAATTCAAGATTGCCGTCGAATGAGAATACGATAAATGTAAATGAAATGCGGAAGAGAAAACGCATTCGGAAGAATCGTATTTGCTTAATTCACTATCTATACTTCTATTCACTTATGATCTAAGGAAGTCCGCGAAGACTTTTTGGCGCAATATCGTGAATGAAGATGTATCATTCTATCGTTTGAGATCCGATGACACAGCTATCTCGGTGGAGCGCGACTATCATTAATCATCGTTCGATCGGCAAATTTACGTTGCTTCGATGACGCTATTGGTTTTTGCCTACTATCGTGCTGTCTACGCCAATGCATTGGTCAGAGAAGACGAACTCAGCAGGGTTTCCCACCTTTTTTTCTTAAAGGAAAGACACGCGAGAGATAGATTTCCCATGTTTTTATCAATTACTAAAATTCTCTACGGAACGTCGGGGAATTAAGAATATGTAAAGGTTATTCAATTTGTTATCGTAATGTGAAGCGTGGTATTTATAACCAGTTTGTAATATGTGAAATTAATGTGTGGATAGTTTCGTTAATGTAAGTAAAGAATGATCGGTTATATCGTAAACAAAAATTGCTTGCGAGTTTCTGTTTCTATAATTGGCTAACTTATTGACAATTTTTAATGAAATAATATACACCTGAAAAATCCGATGAAGAGATAATCTCAGAATTTTTTATTTACAAAGATCTACGTGTGTGTGCTTACGATTTTCTTCAACCCAACCACAAATTTTATATCTATCCCATATCGAAGGAGAGTCAGCGAGTGATCACTTTTAACGGTCTACTTTAGGCCAAGTTAAAATTGAAATAACAGTCGGAAAAAAAGTTTGACGGGATCGGTTCCGCATTCTACGGAATAACGGTTCGTCTCAAAGAATTTACAAAAACGCACCGCGCACGATTGACAGCATTGAGCAGGTAACCCCACCAACAGGTTTAACGCACTTCGTCTCTTACATTTGACGGCTACGGGTTACCTCCAGACACTTAGACAAAAATCCCTGGCTGTTCCATCTCCTCGCCGTCGGTTTCACTCTTCTTTTCACCAACCCTGGTTACCTCGTGCCGATTTAAAAAGCGTGGCGAAGGATGGCTCGCTGCATTTTGCTCAGTATTATTTAACTCCGCGGGTGATCCCCTTTGGTTTTACCTACGCTTCTCTGATCTTTTCATCTTCCCATTCTCTCTGCACTTTCCCGCAGGTTTTTTGTTTCTCTTTTACTTCCTTTTAGACCGTTGCATTATATTCTTTTGTTAAGTTGAGCACGACTTCATCTATGGAATGTTCCTATATTCTTGACTATTTTAAGCTTTGAGCTTTGATCTGTTGACCGCAACAAAACTCAACATTTTCGTTCATTTATACAAATTATTACCGATTAATAATTTTTTTATTGCATATTTTATATTTTCGAAAAAGAAACAGAAAAAATTACATTGAAAAAATAATATTTTATTAGCATATTTTTTAATTTTACATCGATATAATTGAATCAAGAATTGATTAAGAGAGCAGTAAATTTTGCCAAAATAATGACACTATATCCACCGTCCTCTACCACAAGTTTTAAATAAAACAAAAATCAGAAGAGCGCATTACTATGTGCTTTCTGGGAAAATCTCGGCCAACGCTGCAATTTATGTTCGTTACCACCACGAGGTCAATTCACAAAAGTATGCAGCGAGGGGGGCAAATTGCGCGTTTACAAAAGGGTGCGCAACGGTGGGAGCGGTTAAAGCGTTTAGTGCGGTTAACGATGTGCGCCATAATCCAATTTATAATCTGAATTGCAACCCGCCTAATCCCATTATAAAGTCGCATTTTCATGCGTGCGGTGTGCGTCCTATAGGGGGTATGCCAGGCCCGGTCAGTATGGCAGAAACATTTCGCCGTTGTGTAAGCCCTGGTAAGCTCGGTCCAACTCGTGTTTATAGACTCACTAAACATCGTTTCGATACTTTTCCGGACATCTCTACCGGCCGTCAACACGTATGTTTCGATTATGCGATACGCTCATTCGCCACTTCCTCTCGAGAAACTTGCTCTGCAACACGTTATCCGTAGTTTAGCCGCTAATCTCAATTGATGGAATTGATGGATTTTGAAGATAAATTTTACAAAACATTACTGATATATTGATTTAATGTTGATGTATCGCGAGCATTTCATTTTTACATAAAGATCTTTTTAAAATATCAATCTTTTATAATCATAAAAAAATATATTATTTTTCTTCTCTCTTTTTCTCTTTTCCTTCTTCTCTTTATATAAAAGTATTATATTTTTTCAAGTTAATATATATATATTAATATAATATTATGAACTGCAATAATAAAATGTTGCATTGCAATTTCAAGATGCTTTCATTCGTGCGCGTGCACGAACATCATCTGTGTTCATAGCACTATCAATTTCTAATATTTACATCCGTATCGATTTCAATAGAATATAAATACGCTTGAGACAGCGTTATGACACGTTTAATATGTTGAAGCTCTCGTTCGCTCATGCGAAGAGTTAATACCGTTACATTCGATGCATCGAGAGAGAAAATTCGTCTCCAGGTTATACATCACTATTTTGGGAACCCCGTCGCTTAAAAGGGTCGACAGGAGAGCGCTTTTGCCATTACTCATTCTCGGTTCTGTTTAAAAATATCGTATGCGTGAAATATGGATCGAATTGAAAGTCTTCCGTGGCGAAGGACGCGGAAGAGATGGGACGGAGGAATCTCTAGGACGTGCTTAAAAAGAAATAGATAAAAAAGTAGCTAAGTAAAAACCAACCCCTCGTGTACACATAAGTCGGCCCGAGAGGGAGAGTGCTCACGACCTGTAGACATGTGACCCGGGAATATTTGGAGATAATTAATCAAAGGATGGCTTATACGAGAGAAGTGTTGTACTTTCGTGAGAAATACGATGCGGAAGCGTTTCCGTTTGTCGCGTCGCGCCGACCGGAAACTTTAATTTCAGCTATTCTTTCAGTTAATGACATGTTTAAATGTACGTTAATTCATCGAGAGACGCAGTTGCGAAACAAAAAAATTCAATCACAGTAGGATAAACAGTTTCTTCGATATTGTTCATTAATATTCATTATGTAGATACCTATACTTTACATGCACAGATGATCTATACATATAAGAATGCCGGAAAAACATCACAACAATTTTCGCGCATAAATCTCGACTGTATCTATAAATGAATTTAATTCGTTAATGAACCTCTTCGCGAATAACATTTTTATTTAGCAGCTGAAAATACTGAATAGAATCATAATCCGAGAAATGAAAAAGCGGACGATTTTACCGAACAATCGCGTCGCAATGCACTATCTTCCCTGCAGCGTCGGAAGTGAATTTTACCTACGATCTCTTTTTCTCTCGGTGCGAGGACAAACAACGAAATCAACGATCGCGCCGCGTACGTTTCCCTTGGCTGTTCAAACAGACCGGGATTGCCGGATTGCGCGCGCCACCCCGCGTCATGAATAATCGGGATTCTCTCCATGGTCCCTTCTGCTCTCTTTTTTTTCACCCCGTCCCCCGTCCCGTGCCGGTCGGCGAGGCGACCGACTTTAATCCCGCATGAATATGTAGAGGATCCGAATCGACCTGGACCCGGCCTTTTCGGCAGTATATATCCCTGGCTCTCTCAGATGGGGCGATAATCATCGCCGGACAGTCTCCATACCGACGATTTGTAATTATCATAAATTCAGCGAGAGTACGCGCCATCTCATTTAATGACGCAAGCAATTACAAATAGATACTTCTCCCATTATAGAAATCTCGTATCGCTCGGCGTATCGATGCGGCGACGTCAATCACAACCGGACTATATTGTATATGTGGAGCTGACGTCTTATTTCGTAGAAATTCATAAATAATTAAGAGTTCTAGCTTTATTTTAAATAGAGTTCTTGATAGTTTGAACAAATAGTTTTGGTCATTAAAGCATCATTTTCCTTATTAGTAATTATTAGTAATTATCAGGATTTAAAAAATGTATAGTTTTATATAATTTCTAAAACTTCTACCTTTTAAAAGCAAAAAGAAATATTAATTTAGCTGAAATAAAAAAATAAAATCCGGATCTCTATATAAATATGAAGGTAAAACGCTAATCGATTTTTGATTTTCGATCGAGAATTATATTTATTTTAAAACTGTATCTTTTTCAAACATGAATTTTCTTCAAGTTCTAATTAGTTATTCATATTAGTCATGTATGTACAGTATCGCGCGCACTATTGGAATGAAGTTGCCGATGTTTGTAGACTAGCGAATAGCTTCAGTCATTACCAAAACACCGCGAGTACCAGGCAGTTAGAGTTGCGTTTCACTGTGATTTATTAGTAAGCATAATCGCTTCTAACTTTCGTATTGTAATATTTATTAATCGCACATCATAATTTCAACGTTTATATGTAGTCGTAATTGTTCGAAACGCATATTTCGCGAGAAATTTGATGCAAATCTATGTCAACGATCAACATAACCCAACCTAACCTGACCTGTTTTGCGCGCGCGAATGTATTGCGACTCATAGATATATTTATCGTTAATTCTAACTTACATATTTATATTGCGTATGTTATAATGTGAAATAATAAGATTATTCTAATATATCATGTATTTTATTTGTTACAGGTTCATGCAGTCAAATTCGCATGCAACTTATCAGCAATAATATCTGTATCGAACGAATCGTTGCTTCGTATTTCCGATTATAGTTTTCTCATTGTACAATATATGCAAAATACGCGTGCGATTCACGCGTCGCGTTCGGGAGTGCCGTGTAAAGTTTCGGGCGATCGTAATTATTCGTATTTTCGCGTCGTAACTACTTCGAAGGACCAAGAGAGGAGGAGGAGGCCCAGGGAGGCATCGGGCGACATCGGGGCAACTGTGAGGTATGCAAAATAAAAACATTTTTTCTAAAACTAACTTAATTGCATTATGAGATATTCGACCATTTCTAGACTTTCAAAACACTCTGTATATACACATTTATATACATAATTTGAATATTTTGTTTTCAGATCAAGCTGTTCTGCGTTGGATATGCTGCGCAAAATTTCGCGTGAGTGCAGTGTAAAGTGTCGGGCAATCGTAATTATAATTACGATTTTTTACATGTTGTAAGCGCCAAACGGATCGTTGCTTCGTATGATTTCGCATTCCGCATCGCTTTTTCTCATAATGTACGCGAATACGCGTGTGATCACGCGTCGCGTCGGGAGTGCCGTATAAAGTGTCACGCGTCGGGAGTGCCGTGTAAAATTTGGCGTGTCGGGAGTGCCGTGTAAATTATCAGGAGATCGTAATTATTTGTGTTTTTGTGAGTGTTGTGCTCTAAAATGGATACAAAGGATTAAGGGAGTATCGGTGAGTGAGAAATTGTTAAATTTATATAACATTTCTATTGCGTCACATAATTATATTTATTAACATTTGCGAGGATAGTCGGAATTTATGGACTCGAGTGGCTAATAAAGAGCTCCTCTTCGCGTAATATCATGCTAGACGATGTTACGTCGAATGAATAAATATATCTCTCGGTCAAATGTTTTCTCGCACGGATAAACTCGGGTGTTCGTCGTTAAGTATCTCGGAGCGGAACGAAAGAGGTGACGGAAAACGGTCGGGTACATTCGAGCGAGACATCATAGAAGGGTTGTATGTTATATATTACTAACACGAAGATTAAACCGGGTTTTCCCGTAATAATAATAAAAATAATAGGTGTAACCCGTCTTACATTATAGCGAGATAATAATTAACTTGAAACTTTATTATTACTTTATTAAAACGTAAATATTCCTCCTTTTTTTTAATATAATAAGGCAGTTCGTAAATAATCCAAAAGTTAAATCTTCGGTATAGGATCTTTTTTGTCGTCTGATCGGCAAACATGTGTTTACGATATTTTGAGAGAAATTATTTGTTTTTTTAAAGGTAATATCACACACTTTTAAAATCTCTGTCTTACATATTCTAAGCTTGTGATTTATGGTCGTATTACAAAAATGTATGCTATTGGTAGCGCTTCGATGTCTACGTTGTATATTTCTGCTACATCAATAATATCGATATTCAATGTTTTTTCGAACAGTGTTAGATGTGTGTACGCGAATCCAGGCCATCAAATGTATTGACGGCCTCGATTGCGCGAGGACACTCTCGTTCGACACGCGTACACGAAGTGGTATGTGGGATCAATACTGGTGGAATATCTGTCAATTAATCTTAAAAAAGTCGATTGAAAATTCGCTGCTGTATCATCGCTTCGGATCTTTTCAATTTCCGACTTGAGCCGAGCCCGCCTTATTAGATTCATTGATTTATTCGATCGACTGGCACAGAGAAATGAAAAAGCGGAATGATTGAAGGAGTGAGGGAAATAGAAATATTCGTTTCAACTGTCATTTTACCGTTTTAATTATGCGCTTCGTGCCTGCCACTCTATACCAGTCCGCGGCTGGGAACCTTTTTCTAATCATTTTCTGGTATGGTAACAGAAACGATCTCGAAAAAAGTTAGCTGACGAATGTACGGCAGTCATTGCTTGCTGATTTAGTGAGAATTGGCGAAAGAAAATACAGATCAGAAAGAAAATTATGATCCCAGCAGTTATGGGAAAGTCCTTTGGTGGACTTCCATAAATGGAAACCTTTAGGTTTTGACTTTTAGGATGCTGTCTTTCAAATTTTACGACTTTTGAAGCTGTGAGATTATTGGCATGACACAACAATTCGGTAGGACTTGGGATAAGAGAGGAAAAGGCAGAAAGAAAGGATAGAGAGAAAGGTGAGAAAAAAAGAAAGAGAAAAAGGACGCACAGCAATTAAGTTTTATTACAGTAGCTTGCGGTAAACGATCCGAAATACTATAGGTATACCTTTTATTGAACTGTAGGTTTCACAATGTTTGTATACACGATTTGTCACAAAGTCATTACAGAACCATAAATTATCGTGTTTCTTGGCTATTCCAAAAGTTATGCTTAAAGGACAGGATCAAAATAGAAGAAAGTTTTTCGCTATCTTATTTAGCAATTGTTGACACACAATAGTTAATGTCTTCTTTCAGCGTTAAGGTTGGATTAAGAAATTTCATTGATTTATTAACCTTCATATAATTATATAATAACTGTTTCTACCAACGTCGATTAAATTAAATGAAAAAAAAAAATTAAATTTCAAATAAGTTTTTAAAAAGAGACAAAATATAGTTTAACCAGAGGTTTATTGTTATGATAGAAACGGATCTTACTCGGACAATATACGCAAATAAATAATGCATAGTGTAGATCTGTAGATTATTTTGAAAAAATTCCTAATGACTCTATGTCATACCTATATTTTAAAGACTTCTTTTCTAATTACATCACTAAAATAAATTATTGACATATAATTACTAATATAAATTTTAACATTTGCAATTACAATATGCAAATATATATTTAAATGCCGATTTTAATATTATTATAAAGAGATACAAAAGAGACACGATATATTTTATAAAACTATATATACTCAATCAATTAATTTTGAGGCAACAAAAAATCTGAAAAAAATTACTAAAACTTTTAACTTCTCGTTCTTTCGTTTGTTCCCCCTATTGCCTTGGCACTTTATAGAATTCCAGAGCTGAGAAAAATGCGCAGATTTCATTTCTGGCGAACGAGGGAGACAGATCGAGAGAGATGAGGAGAAAAGAGAAAAAAAAGGATAAGCACGAGAGAAGGAATGGAAACGAAATTTAGGGAGGCCGAACAGGACGAGGAGATGAGAGAGAAAGAGAGAAAACGACAGGGAGAAGGGGATTACGGGAGGATAGCCGTATAGGCATGGAAACACACGGTACGCCATGGGCATGGGATCGCACGCATGCGTCTCGTCCGGCCCAGCGGGTGGCGATGTGTGCTCTTTTTTTCCCTTCGTCTTTCTCTCTTTTTCTTCTGCCGTCCCTCTGACCGATCTCTCCTTTCTCGCTGCCCTCTGTCGCTCTTCAGCCTTCGGTTCGATGCCAGTCAGGAAACTTCTCGTTTTACCTACGTTCCCCCTGCCGCTCTCTTCCTTCGCCACATTTCAGCCCCGAATTTCGGCGTCTCTTTTAAATAATTGTCCGCTACGAGAAGAGCTGAAGGGGTACGCGTCCGAGAAACCGATAGAGCCGAGAGATCGAGAGATGCATCGCCACCGCGGTGGATCCACCTCTTTCCACGAATATATCGACCGCTTCTCTTTAATATTGACTGTTATCAACCATGGTCGATGTTGAAACTGTCCTAGTAAATGACGCACTGAATTAATACCACTTGAAAAATTTAATATTTGAAAAATTTTAATTATTTAAAAAAATATTTCATTCAAAACTTAAGCTCTAATAATATGTACAGAGAGATGTAACTTCAAATTTATTTTACATTTATTTTAAAATTTAATATATGAGATCTTTTTAATATTTTATCATAATAATTAATATTAAACATTTAAAAGATGTGAGGAATAATAATGTTGTATATTTCTCATGTAAGTCTTTTTTTATAAAAAAAAGAGAGCAAGTTAAGATATGTTAAAATGTTTTGAAAATGTCTTTGATAGTGATGTTAGCAATAAGAGAATATCCTGTACATGTTATTATCGCAAATGATAACGTTAGCAATTCCCGTTGAAATTGGCATTATCAATTCTAAAGCGGCGTTTTCTCCTGCAGTGTATTTCTCTCTAATTAGGTTCGATCGTACGATCGTCTCACGGCTCGAAATTATTATCTCGATCTTATCGCATGCGAGACGCGTCGCGAGTTAAGTCGATGCACCATTTGCGCTCGTTGATCGAGCGGGTAAATTACATCTTCCAACGATGCATGGATTCTCTATAGCTCGTTGGTCACGCTGTAAGAAGTACAAATTACGCGAGTGTCCAAGATACAGAATGATATACGGAAGTCATTTAGAGAGAATTATCGAGATACCTAGAGAACTGTACAAGTTATGCAATGAATTAAATAATTCCTTGTTATTAGCGTTACAGTATCAAATATTTTTAAAAATGTGTGTATCTTACACACTACATATATCTTTAGATAGAATTGTCAGTTATTCTTGCTATACTCTTACAATTAGTAAAGAGCACAGTATATAACAGGTTTCGGTTTTCGAAGAAAGACTTTTTGATTACATATAGATATAAAATATGATACATGCATCGCGTCGGAGCGTCAAAGATATTCGTGTTTATTATCATTTCGATACCGAACTCCGATTATTCAAAACTGTTTCGAACGATGAATCCAGCCGAAGCGGATCGTGGATCGACGACGCGATATATACAGCGTGCTACATTAAGCGTTTGGGGAACGAATCGGGAGAATCGTAGAAGAATGGCAAGAGAGAGAGAAAGAGTAGGTTTGAGATCCCGCGCGAGGTTGACAAAAGAACGAAAGCGCGACTAGAGGTAGAAGCGCCGCACCGGAGAGAGATGAGGACAAACATAATTCAGAATTATCCCGCGTGGCGGTCCCGTCTCTCACATATTTCACTCTCGAAAGGGGTTTTTGTCCACTGGGGGTGGAGAAGGTCGAGGTAGCCCGCGCACGCCACGTATTCCTTTTCCACGCGCTTCTCAAATATGCCAGGCAACCATCTATGCTTGTTTACTGAACGCGGATAGGATGATAACATTATGTACAAGTATACTTGTATGAATTACCGTAAGATGGAATAGTAATGCAATATTCGTAAATTCAAGCAGGTGCTACACCTGTCATCTATCCGTCATTGATTTCCTTTTACTCTCGCCGCAGTAGGAAAGATTTTTGATCGAAACTTTAATGCTAGATGGATATCGCTTAATGACTTTGTTAGAGAGCATTAATGTTATTTCTTTCTTGCTCAATTTGATTTTATTATGTTATAATATATCTATTAAAATTGCACCTAACAGATTATACAAATTACTATCGTTTTGACTATAAAATCTATTTTAAGTAACTAATTTAAAATAAGAATTAATTTATCTATACTTATTTATTTATCCATATTGTCAAGTTGATTGCATATAAACTAGAAATGTGAAAAGTTAACGTGAATAAATTTGATGTTATGACATCGGATTTCGAAATATCATGAATAATTCGCACGCGCTAATATTCCGCGACGATATAGTTCTGTATTCGGCTACATATATATTTTCGTCATGCAAGAATCTCTTATAATGTTTCCTTGCCACACCCGTATCATATTTTACGAATAAATAAATTCCATTTTCTCGTTTG